GTCTGGATCCCCATGCTGTGGAAACAGGGCACATGGTCACATGGTCACACGGTCACACAGTCACACAGTCACACAGTCACGTCCCGCCATTAAGCCCCAATAATAAATCCATTAAACCCAGACTACCTGCCCATGATGCACACCAACGCTCTCCTTCACTGATAGCGACCATTTGCCGATGAAACACTCTGCATTACTAAACACTTTCTGTCTGTCAGAAGTTATATTTTATGAAGTTTTGTTGAATCTACTCTTATTTTATCATGATAAAAAATATTGTTTTAATGGATCATTGGCAATCACACTCAGACAAAATTTAAAGCCTCAGTTTCATCACCTGCTAATCTCTGGGATTCATTTTCAGTGCAATGCTAGCCTTGCATGCTGGTGCCAGGATATAGGCTGCTATAAGCCTGGTGAAAACAGTGCATTCAGAGTGACAGTGCCAGGATGTAGGCTGCTATAAGCCTGGTGAAAGCAGTGCGTTCAGAGTGATAGTGCCAGGTTTATACCCCTCTGCTGTAAGCCTGGTGAAAGCAGTGCAGTTCAGAGTGATAGTGCCAGGTTTATACCTCTCTGCTGTAAGCTGGTGAAAGCAGTGCAGTTCAGAGTGAAAGTGCCAGGTTTATACCTCTCTGCTGTAAGCCTGGTGAAAGCAGTGCAGTTCAGAGTGATAGTGCCAGGTTTATACCTCTCTGCTGTAAGCCTGGTGAAAGCAGTGCAGTTCAGAGTGATAGTGCCAGGTTTATACCTCTCTGCTGTAAGCCTGGTGAAAGCAGTGCAGTTCAGAGTGATAGTGCCAGGTTTATACCTCTCTGCTGTAAGCCTGGTGAAAGCAGTGCAGTTCAGAGTGATAGTGCCAGGTTTATACCTCTCTGCTATAAGCCTGGTGAAAGCAGTGCAGTTCAGAGTGATAGTGCCAGGTTTATACCTCTCTGCTGTAAGCCTGGTGAAAGCAGCGCAGTTCAGAGTGATAGTGCCAGGTTTATACCTCTCTGCTGTAAGCCTGGTGAAAGCAGTGCAGTTCAGAGTGATAGTGCCAGGTTTATACCTCTCTGCTGTAAGCCTGGTGAAAGCAGTGCAGTTCAGAGTGATAGTGCCAGGTTTATACCTCTCTGCTGTAAGCCTGGTGAAAGCAGTGCAGTTCAGAGTGATAGTGCCAGGTTTATACCTCTCTGCTGTAAGCCTGGTGAAAGCAGTGCAGTTCAGAGTGATAGTGCCAGGTTTATACCTCTCTGCTGTAAGCCTGGTGAAAGCAGTGCAGTTCAGAGTGATAGTGCCAGGTTTATACCTCTCTGCTGTAAGCCTGGTGAAAGCAGTGCAGTTCAGAGTGATAGTGCCAGGTTTATACCTCTCTGCTGTAAGCCTGGTGAAAGCAGTGCAGTTCAGAGTGATAGTGCCAGGTTTATACCTCTCTGCTGTAAGCCTGGTGAAAGCAGTGCAGTTCAGAGTGATAGTGCCAGGTTTATACCTCTCTGCTGTAAGCCTGGTGAAAGCAGTGCAGTTCAGAGTGATAGTGCCAGGTTTATACCTCTCTGCTGTAAGCCTGGTGAAAGCAGTGCAGTTCAGAGTGATAGTGCCAGGTTTATACCTCTCTGCTACAGGCCTAGTGAAAGCAGTGCAGTTCAGAGTGATAGTGCCAGGTTTATACCTCTCTGCTACAGGCCTAGTGAAAGCAGTGCAGTTCAGATTTGTCACTGGGGCCGGGATTCTCTCAAAGAGCTGATATAGAATCAGGTTTGAAAATGACCGCAGATCATCACCCACATTCATCAAATATCTCTGAAATGAGCACTCCAGGAACAGGTGTACCCAGTCCATATCGTAATCCTACAGTCACAGCAGAGTGGCCAAAACATACAGAATGTAAGATAAATTTTTCTGCTAACCACACACAACTTCAGCCCACTTAATGAGACTATTGTGGGGTGGAATCTAGCTGTCTTTTTTGCCATGAGTTAGCAAAAATTGAACAACCTTTTTTTGGGTTGTCTCCAAAAGTTACAGCAGATCACATGATAACCTGACTAACCATCTGCCCTAAGGCACGGGAGCAGTGGCAGGTCCATGGTCAAAAAGGCATCCGTGATTGGTCGCGACGAGGTCATGTGATGTCCTTTTTTCCACACGGGGTAAATGTGACACTGCTTAAAGTCAACATTCATTGAATGTCAAGAGTAAACCAGGCTCCGCCGGGCACTGACATGTGGTCCGTAGGGTTTACAACACAATAATGAGCCACACAGATTATCGTCGTGCCTCATATTTTCAGTCGGGTTAGCCTGATTTTTAAAAACTTTGTATTTAAGTTCTTCCAACCTTTTTTCTTGGTAAATCTTTTTCATCCTTAGAGAAAGTTCAAGAATGTTCATTCTTTCCAGAACACAGCGAAACACAACAGACATCGATCCCGTGACCTGAGGGTCAGAGTACAGGACTCAAATAACGACTCTACCCTGCGGTTTGTTTGTCGTTTTCACCCAGGCCCTACAATTCGATATATCCTAGGGGCACCACAGAGTGATATATGTTGAAATGTAAAATAAATACTCAGTGTTTACTCGAAGGTGAGTGACCTCTACCATTCCTCGCTGCAAAAAGGTTTAAACCTAATTTACAGGAAACTCGAGTTAATGTACAACGTTAGCGAATAACCCATATAGTGGACAGTATACAACGAAGATTCAGTTCACAAAATAAACACTTTAAAGTGAAATAGCTGTATGAAATACAACCGCTTTGGAGATAAGACACGCGTGTACAACTATGTTGTTTTCCAGTTACAGATCTGCTGTCCAACATCATGAAACATATAAAGAATACAAACTGGCACCATCTGTTGCGACAGAACACCAGTAGGTGACATGACGTAAAGCATCAGAAAACACTCAACTTGTACTGTCTCAGTGAAAATGTTCTTCTCGCGTTTTGAATGGCAACAGAGGTGCACAGTGTATTCCTATTGTGATGAGTTTTTATCATTTATATTTCCTAACATTGGAACAACAATTTCAGTATTTCATGACAAACCATCCACAATAATGTCATAAACATTAAAAGCTATCCAGCTTTCGAGAACGATGTACTTTGTAACAAGACGCAAGTTTGAAAAGAAAACATTCATGCTACAGGGTTTTATGTAACTTAAGATCACCAGTGTATGTATACATCTGATTAAACTGCTAACAACAAAAGGAAAAAAATTCAGTTCACAAACCTTATGTTTAGAAAACCCTTCTCTTGAGAAGCCAACTTCTTGATTGTCCCTATACAGTTTAATGCTGTCCCCGGCCTCAGGTTCCAGTTCGGTGCCGCTTGTTGTGACCGAAAGGTCGCCAAAAGTATTCGGCCGTTGCTTGCTTTGACAGACAACCATGCCTACCTGTTCAGCGGTTGATACCGATGACTTTTGTACGCGTGTAGTAACACTGATCTTCTTTGGTGAAATCCTGTTCATTGTAAATTTTGTACGAATCTTACTGCTAACGAGAACTTTTATGTGTTTGTTATGAGCTATAACTACAGACAGTATATCTGAACGGCTTTATGTCATATTGATTCAGTAACCCTAGCTATAGTCAGCCAGCCACTGTGAATTAAGTTTTCAAGTGGTAGAAAAATATATCATATTACTTAATTCTGCCGTTAAAATATGTATATATAACCATAATATCGTTCACAATAGCTGAAGAGCTAGTTACGTATAGCTACTACAGTCTAATGTAGCAACATCAACGTAGGTAGCTAGTTTCTGTCTGTCTCCAGCCGGACGATTTACCCTCACCGGCATCAGTTTACAGAAAGTACTACTACGCAGATCCACGAAATGTAACATAAATGGATGCGTCCCTGAAACGATTCCCCTAGACATTCAATTACCCCATCCAGTTTGAAGTACAATTTGTTCACATGTGCACAACACAGCGGACAGACACACACCTCTTAAATCCCTCCCACACCACGATAGAATAACACTTGAATACAGGGATTGGGTAAATCTAACTTGCAAGCAAGACCTGGTCTGCTAACTAGTTACACTTTTTGCGAGGAGTACAATATGACTTCTTAATTAATCATATGTAGCCAACTAGCTAATCAGTGTTATCAGGTAAGATAAACATGCAGCTGATGAAGGTAAAAAAAAAAAAAAACATCGGCTTCCGTCATTCTGTTATTGTGGAGGCTCACGGTAGTGATCAATATCTGCACCTCTGCTTTCGCAATTAAACACTCTGTCCGTGTCAGTTGGATGCTCACTGGAAGCATTGGTTCTGTAACCTTAACATTGCCTTATAAGAGTTTCTATCTGATCTAGTCGCAATATTGTTATCTCGGTACATATATCGAGTACGAATCGGCGTTCCTTGAGCGCAATCTGTCAGGATGGCCGAGTGGTCTAAGGCGCCAGACTCAAGGATATCAATCCTTCCTGCGCAAAGGGTCTTCTGGTCTCCGTATGGAGGCGTGGGTTCGAATCCCACTTCTGACATGGTTTTGCGCATTTCACACAAGAGATATGTGTCCGAGAGCACTGTTATAATGTAGAAAGAACAAAGGCAGATATAGTTTATACCATTGCATATTTATAAAACCTGTGAAACCTTATATGGTAACGAGCGAGGGGAGGACTTCATAGCGCGCAAATAATTGAATGATCGAAGGTCGAAGTCTTGCAGAAAACAAGTGGTCTGACAGTCGGAACGAAAAAAGCTTAAATCTTTGCGTTTCCCTGTGTGCGCGGTATATGATCATATGATATATGATATATGGTTCAGTTCGCACCAGTTACCAGACGAAGGCGCTAGATCCCTCCAGAAAAACAGAACACAGTCGGTTTGGAGAAATCTAGAAATCTGGAAAGTCCACACACGACAGGAGTGTTGTTTTGTAGGTCGCGCGTCATTCCGTGAAACTCACAGACGTTCAAAAACGTTTAGAAAGCCAATGTGACAACACAGTGTGGAGGTTTGATATGTTTAATATAAGAACTGCTTGCAATTGTCAGGATGGCCGAGCGGTCTAAGGCGCCAGACTCAAGGTACAAAACCTTCCTGTAAATAAAGGGTCTTCTGGTCTCCGAATGGAGGCGTGGGTTCGAATCCCACTTCTGACAACGGTTTTGAGAGTCGTTCTTTACAATCGTCCGTTACAAACAAGCAATGGGAAATCTCACCGCCATATACTACCTGAAGTTAAAAAAAGTATCACTGTAACATTACACTGGAATCATGACAGACACTGTGTATAGTTAAAAACGGTTTTAGGTCTTCAGGAACTGCTACAAGAAACATACGCTCCTTAAATAAGCCTGATGAGTTAAATTCATAGGAAAGAAGGTTAGCTTATATTAGTACAATTGGTCAAACGTTTTCAAGTAAATAAAGCATGCAGTGCTTATGGCTAAACAAATGAAGGTTTTAGCAGGCCTATGCAAAGACGAACAGCCACCACCTAAGCAGAATTATTTCCCAAAGTACAAAGTATAATACAATTGTCTTGAAGAAAAAAAGACACCAATTTAAACAAGAAAGAACTTACAGGACAGAGGTAGTGGTTTATGCCGTCTGTGCTCCACGTGGAGCCGTACATGCCGGTTCTGTGTGGGGACTCTGTTTCCTTTCTTTCACAGACTAATGGAGGATAATTGGCTGGAGCATGGCCTCTCTCGCGCTCACAAGTAGGGAAAACGGAATCTAATGTGGGCAGTGCAGGAAAGAGGACACATGACTGTCACAGACATCCAATAGACCTCGCGACGCAAGACCCAGAGTGAGCATCAGCGCTGGAATGTTTTTGCAAATGTAGCAATACAAGTTGATTGAATTACAGGAAATAAAATGCCTGTCAAAAAGGGCTTGATTTAAGTAAACAGATCATGGGACAATGCGGCACAGGTTTGGCTGGGCACAGATGCAGTTGTCCCCTGAACACAATGGCCCAGTGTCTGACTAGAGAGCTCCAGCTGTGCTCACCATATGCTCAGATAACTACAAAATATCATTAGCAATTTTGTAAAAACAGCAGACTAAATATGACGCAAATAAAATATGAGGTTGGCTAAAACCACATTAAATATGTTGTGTCATGAAAATGGAACATGGGGAAACTCTGCATTTGACTCGAACATGTTGTTGGGTGCGCTGAAGGACATTAGCTGCATATAGGCTAAGCAGGTACGTGTGTACAATGAGCAAGTGGGTGATCGTGATCCTTTGCTGGAGATCGTGATGCTACAGAAGTGGCTGTGTGAATGCATATGGTCTGAAAAAGCACCATTTTGATAACAAAGTCAGCAAACACTCCACCAGGTGCCCAGTCGACCAGGAGTGACCGCTTGAGAGAGCGATGAGACTAACAGACCTGACCAGCTTAACCCAGACTGCTGTCCAATCACAGACCTGACCAGCTTAACCCGGACTGCTGTCCAATCACAGACCTGACCAGCTTAACCCGGACCGCTGTCCAATCACAGACCTGACCAGCTTAACCCGGACTGCTGTCCAATCAGTTAAACCTTTTGCCCTTGAAAACCTCACTTATAAACCTCACCTGGGAGCAGGTGACATCCCACCAAACAAACACAGGTAAATGCTGAGATAGTTAACCTCACTTATAAACCTCACCTGGGAGCAGGTGACATCCCACCAAACAAACACAGGTAAATGCTGAGATAGCTAACCTCACTTATAAACCTCACCTGGGAGCAGGTGACATCCCACCAAACAAACACAGGTAAATGCTGAGATAGTTAACCTCACTTATAAACCTCACCTGGGAGCAGGTGACATCCCACCAAACAAACACAGGTAAATGCTGAGATAGTTAACCTCACTTATGAACCTCACCTGGGAGCAGGTGACATCCCACCAAACAAACACAGGTAAATGCCGAGATAGTTAATGAAGAGTCACGTTATCCTGTGTGAAGTTTGCAGGTGAGGTTGCCAAGTGAACCAAAGCCCCTGTCTTGTTTCCTAGGCAGGGTGGAGCAGACTGTTGCCTCTCCAGTGCATTTAGATGCACACATAAATTAAACTGACCCACTGCAATGCAAACCATGGCAAAGGAAAACAAAACTTAGGTTCTGTGAGTGGGCATACTCTGGGCGGTAAAGAGATCGAGAGCAACGACAAGAAAACAAAACATTGTTTTTGATTTACTGGCAGGTTGCTTCCCAGGGACCAAAACAAAGGCATGCTTGTCTTGTGCATACTGCGAGTCAATGCTGTGATGATGACCTAGCAGGTTTTGCATAGTTTCCAGTTGTCTGTGCACATTTTTGCATTCCATCTTGGCAGAAGTACATCATGGTATTTGGTACGGCCTGAAGCACATAGGTCTAATTTTCACACACTCCTGCCTTGTTAGCGGGCTATATGTTAGCAGATCAAGTCACTGGTAGCTTAGCGTTACGGTACCTATGACACGTTGGCATCGGTGCTTGTGCTGTATGCCAGTACGCACTGTGTGTGATTTTACCATGAACGCAAGCAAACTGAACACGGTTACTGAAAACTCTATCTGGCTGGAATGGGTGAATGTGTTCAGTGAACCAAAAGAAAGACACTTAAGCTTGAGCTATACTGGGGCTTGCAGGCAGAGTACAGCTCAAAATCCGTGTATACTCTCCAGAGAATATGTCTTCATACTCTCAATAGTATTAACACAAAGAATGACACCTGGTTTGCAGTCTGCTGTCCTTCATATGAATGTGCCACATATAAAAACATCCCACACTGTCTCTGAGAAGACATAATTTATAGTGACTATTGTCATGTTACCTTCCTATGGTATGTATGCAGTATGTTATATGGTGTTTTACATTTCACTGGTTGTTTTCAGATGAGCATTTGAAAAAGTCTCAGAAAACTAGATGGGTACACTGGCTGGGCAGAAGGCGGTTCCAGTGTCTGTGAAACCCACCTCTGACAAATGCTTTGAGGAGCACTAAACAGAATGCCAGTTCCTCCTTTAGCAAATTAACCTGTAATAATTTGAAACTTGTAGCAAAGTAATGCTAAATTTCAGTTTACAGTTACTTTAACACAGCATGCATTACCCTGTCTGGTAGGTTGCTATGGGATCCACCTGCACTGAAAGCAGGTGAAGGCGTTAGATATTGGGGAAATTATTTGTCTGAATTAAACACAGGAGAAGCACTGTTTGGTTGGATAAAACACAGGATACACATTGATTGGCTGGAATAAATCCAGGGGTCACACTGATTGGTCAGAACTGTGACAGGAAAGCAATGCCTCATGGGTTACAGAATGGGTGGAGCCAACTTTCTAGCAGTGGCTTTGCAGAGATGAAGCAAAGTAACAGCATTTTCTGAATGACCTTCTACATCTACTGAATGCACTTTGATTGAAGTGCACGACCTGGCTCATTTCAGTGTGAGAAGCATTACTGAAAAACAGAATTTATGGATTGAGAATGGTTTGCTGTAGAAATCAATTTGTTTTGATCAGTTCACAGCATGAAATTGCTCCACCCAGTCATTTCATGGTGCTCCATTCTCCAGCCCATGGGACAGGGGGAGGACACACAAGAGGATGGACAGAATATCTTCACTTAGAGGAGCTGAGGAGCACACTATTCTGCAAATGTCTTTTAAAAACACTTCTTCTCAAGTACTCACCATTTAAACCAGTTTAATATGTGTAATTATGAAATGACTTTTGTTTATGTATTCATCTTCTATAATTCATGAATATATTTATGTATAAGAGTTTCTAGAGTTTCATTTACCTGTCAGTCAGAGTGATATTATAAATGACAGTCCTGCTGTTTCATGTAGTTTCCCAAATGTCCAGCAGGTGGGGCTGTGTTGTCTTTCAAAATCACATGATGGGGATTTCACATTTTCACATTGTGTAGGCAAACCCTTTTACCCTAGCAACAGTATACACAAACAAGAGTTCAACTTCTCTTCAACTAATAATAAAACTCATTAATGCGCAGTCTCGAGAATTGGTTGTTGGAATAACAGACACAGTTTCTAAAATAAAACTAAAACCGTTCAAGTTTAATCCCATGCATTAGTGAGTGTGAAACCCTGAGTGCTTTTTGTACCCGTGTTACAGTAAAGGGCAGGGGCTGGTGTTTGTATCGTAGGTACATGTGGGAAAACCCCACAGAGAATTAACAAGAGACAGGCTAACCAGCAGCTGTTCTTACAGTGGATTCAGTTCCTCTTTATAAGAAAAATATAGATATGTTATGTCACTTCAAACAACATTTTCTAAGTAAATCAGATATATGAAAAGCACAGTTATGTGGTTCCACACACACATGCACACATATGCATGCACACACAAACAAACAAACGCACACAAAGGTGTTCTTGTACCACAGATGTTAATCTCAGTCTGTTTAAAACTAAAATATTTGTCTTTGCACCTGATGCACTGAATCTTTTAAGGATTTAAGTTATTTAAATAAGGTCTGCAGTCCAAAGCCCAGGGTCACACACAAACTGAGATCGCTGTACTGTAGTACCATGTGATCCTAACCTTTCACATGGCTGTATTATAGTACTGTGTGATCCTAACCTTTCACATGGCTGTATTATAGTACTGTGTGATCCTAACCTTTCACATGGCTGTACTACAGTACTGTGTGTGTTGGGTTTCCAGCACATAGCATTTCATAATTTGAGAATACCCAGTATTCAGGAGGACAGCAGAGCTGTCAGTGTGCAGACTGCCGAGATTTCATCTGAGTTCACCTCAATCCATTTCAGTCCAGCTGAGTCCATTTTAGTCCACCTGAGTCCACATTCGTCCATCTTGGTCCATCTTAATTCATCTTTCTCTGACCTATTCCTTCTGTGTCCATTTCTGTCCAGTTTAATCCAGTTTAAAAACCATCTGCTCCCTATGCTGCTTAAATTTTACCATCACTCCGTTGCTGGTAATATTATATTAAAATACAAGGAAAAAAGAAGCAGGAGAAAGGAAATGCTAGCTCTGCTCAGTCAAGAGGGAGCTGAGCTCAGTGTCCGTCAGGCACTTGCGGGTTTGAATCCGCACACATTTGGGGCATTGCTCATCTCTGAAGCACTGGATGTGGAAACAGGCTTTGCAGTCTGGGGGAAGAGACAAAGCCAAAC